ATGCTTGCTCTTTTTTATTCTTCTATAGCACAATCATGCATATGCTTTTTTTTTTCTTCTAGTGGAATATCACCTAACTATTCAATTTCATTACAATACACCATATTATTTCATGAATCCACTCCACATTATGCAACATCAAGGTTAAATAACCACCATTGCATATTATAGATTCATATGCTTGACATTCAAGCGAAGTTGAACACCATGAAACCTTGATGTTATATGAGTCAAACAAGAAAAAACAACGTAAATGTCAATATATATTCATTGATCGAAAATAGTAGAATTTGATGACATAATGTTTAAGAATATCTACAACCACATACAAAGTACCTTCATCGCCTCATTAGTTTCGACTCCTATTAAAAACAAAGTTTCATATATAATCTTGAAAAATGCATAGATTTTCAAGAAACACCATACCCTCTAAACTCTAAACTGTACCGAGTGTCCTTCCTTAGTATTATCATCGGGTAGACCAATCACTGTCTCCTTAAGAAGCTCAATAATGAGATGAAAAATACGTATTTCACTTCACCTCGTTTAGGTGGAAGCCTTGCAATCGGTTTCAGTAACACCAAGCCTTTCATCATGTAGGTTGCGTACGTTTTTTCAAAAAGATTCAATCTTGGAGGAGCGAATGAATTTGATGTACATATTGAACTAGGAAATAAGTAGGATCACACATTTATACCCATACAAAGCCATCTGGGTCTTGCGTAATATCGTGGAAAACACGAAATTTAAGTGGCAATAATAGCTACATTTCTAATCATTCACACGTGATGATTGTAACATGAAGAGAATAAACAACTCAAGTCAATCAAGCCACATCAAATTGTTGACAAAAAGGGAAAGAATAGTCATTTCACTTTATAAATATATCCAACATGTTCCCTTTGAATAGGACTTTCATAGGTCTACCACACCAACATGTTCCCTTTGAAAGCTATGTCACTTGGCACCATCTCACAAACAAATTGTTGTTTTCTTGAAACATTGTACGGAACAATTAAAGCAACAAAAAATCAATAGTTCGAAAATAACAGAAATTTATGAGAAAAAGTAAAATCACTTTTTCCTAACAAGTGCAAATCATTGGGCACAATGAAGACATCTCCAAGTCTCCACATTACATGAATGTAGCATGCTTGCTTTTGCTTTTCTTTTGCATAATCATGCATATGTTTGTGTGGTCAAAAGTGGTCATGACTACCTTTCTAACTAGTGGGATACAATATAAAATTCTAAAGACTCATGGTTCCATTCCAATGCACCTAATTGTTCGATCCAATTCCATTCTGATTTTCGTAACATGCATTTATCAAATAAATTCATGTGTTTTTAGTAGACTATGTCATGGTAACTTGCTTCAAATGCTTACCATAGAAGAGCATAAACTCAAAACACGAAGAAAAATGACATAAATATCAAACCATATGTGTACATTCATTGATAAAAAAAGAGTAGATTATGATGACATAAGCTAAGACTAGTACTAAAATCCTCAAGCTTCATAATCTTGAAAATGTGTATATATTTTCAAGAAATATCATGATCATCCTTAGATAGCATATTTCGAGTAGACCAATCACTTTCTCCATATAAGCTCGATAATGAGACGAAATATACGTTTTCACTTGACCTCTTTTAGGTGGAAGCGTTGCATTCAGTTTCATTAAAACCAAGCCTTTCATCATGTTGGTTTTTATTAAAATTTTCAATCTTGGAGGGAGATAATTTGATGTGTTGAAAGAAGATATGAATATGAGCACATATATATACACAAGGCCATGGGTTCTACATCTTGGACACTATAATGAAAGACTAGTAAATAGTAATTAGGTGAGAATGATAGCTATGTTTCTAATCATGCACACGTGATGACAGTTTAAAAAGAGTAAACAACAACTAAACATTACAAGACAAAGTCAAGTCGCTTAAAATTGTTGACAAAAAGGAAAAAAGATTAGTCACTTCATATATCCACATAGGGCCAAGATGTTCATTTGTTCCCTGAGAAAATGACTTTGAAAGCTATGTTATGTGGGACCTCCAGACAAACAAATCGCTGTTTTCCTGGAAACATAGCATTGAACAAAAGCATAGAAGAGATCAATACTTCAATAGTTTGAAAAAAGTATTCAATCTTGTTGAATTCAAGAACAGTGTATAAAGTCTACCTCTTGGATTACATTATAGACATAGTCAAGATTTCCAGAATAACCATTTAACAATGAATCAGTTGCAAAATCCATCAAGTATAATTGGAAATTTGATTTTCTATCACCCATGTTTCCTCTAGAAAATATAACCTTATATGAAACTCTTGTTATTCCTTTGGTTTTTTTTTTAAAACTTACAGAGCCTCACAGTTCAATATAACATGAAGGAAAAATTATATTTTCAACATATACTATAACCAATAGGACAAATATCTTTGATACAATATTCGTATCATCTTTAAACCAATCACTATGTGTTTTTTTAAAAAGGTTCAATCTTGGAGGTGATATTTGATGTGTTGGAAATCAAATAGCTATTGGACTTTACATACTTTCTTGGAAAACACTAAATGAAGCGAAAGATGAAGAGAACAAACAAGTAGAAGACAAGTCGATTTAAAGCTATCTACAAAAAGGAAAAGAATAGTCATGTGATATATCCAAATAAGGCCTCAACTCATCCAGATGCCAGATGGCATTTCAACTTCAAATTATTCAATCAAGATCCTAGATGTTTCCTGTGAAAGAGACAACATGTGCCCTTTGACCATGACATTGAAAACTATGTTACTTGAGACCTTCCTACAAACAGATTGTTGTTTTCCTGGAAAGAGAATATAGAACAAAAGCAACAAGGAACACAATATATTGAAAAGAATACTTCAAAGTCATTATCCATGGAAGTCAAGTACAAGAACAGTGTGCAAGATACAACCCCAAGACCACATTATTGAAGGAGTTATATAGGAATTTGATCACCATTTCATATTGTAGTTGTAATTGCTTACATAAAGCCAACTACAATACAACTTTATACACATAAAAGCCCTTGTTCAATCAACAGTAGCTAGATTTTACTGATTACATGAGTAGTAAAGGACAGTTGTATCTTATTAACACCAATTTCTAAACGAATAGATCATTGGAAACCTGCTTAAATTCTTGCATCTGCTTGAAGTTAATCCAAGGCTTCACCCAAACTTTAGTTTCGTATGCTTTTATCTTTCCAACAGCATCTGTTGCTCCAATGTGAGATAGTACATCTTACCAGCCACCACCTGCTCTTTCGCCTTTATCAATCTAGAAAACTTGAGAAGGGAGTTCTGCACATATAACAGATATGATTCAGAATTATTAATCTATATCACTTCAATCAACAAAAGAAAGAAAGAAAGCTCTTCGCTAAATACGTTTTTTTTAACAATCGTGAATTGGTAAAAAAGCAAACATGTACATACAAAATTCGATCGTAAATTACGGGATATTGACAAAGAGAACAAAATAGGAAGGCAGAAGGCTCGTACAAATCATGAAACAGTACCTCTTTTTTGTTGTGTTCTTCGACAGCAAATCGAGCGAGGGTTTCTATCTCGATCCCGTTGAGGCCTTGTTCCGTGATATCACGAACTCCGCCTAGCTTTTGTGACCTTATCATACCTTTTTCAACTCTGCAAACCCCGAAATCGAAAGTGGCGAACAGCAAGAAGGCAGTGATGATCAGCGATGATGAAACAAAAGGGGATTTGTTAGGGTTCATAGTTTCGAATTGGCGCGGTGTTTTCGGATTCAGATGAGTTTTATTCTGTTTGCGTAGTTAGCTGTTGCTTGAAGCCACAGGAACCACTTAAAAACTTTTTCGGGATTCTGAATTCACCAACCGAATTAACACATGAACTAAAAGTGATCACGATTTCATTTACTATGACCAAAAAGATAGTGATTTATTAAAAAAAAAAAAACATTTTGTAATCTCATGTGAGTTAGCCAATGTATTGTAAAATTTCATATTGAGAAAAAAAAATATTACGTAAGCACTGCATTTAAAAATACATCGAAAAAAAAAAAAGTTTAGGAAGTTGTGTGTGTCTGAATAGAATGCTTAAGAGCTAAGGCATTGTCTAAATCCATACTTTATAATTGTTAAAAACTCTATTAAATTCGGTTTTATCTAGAAACCGATTTCATATTGCAGTTGTAAATTATTGTTTACATAAAACCAACTATAAAAACTTAATATACAGGGCCTTAGAGGAAGACAATCAACAACTCAAAACTTTTTAAGCTCATCAAATTAACACCAATTAACTTCTAGACATTTGGATCATCAGAAACCTTAAATTCTTTCATCTGCTTCATGTCATTCCAAGTCTGCACCCAAACTTGAGTTTCATATACTTTTATCTTGCCATCACCATCTGTTGCCTCCAATGTCAGATGATACATCTTACCAGCCACCACCTGCTCTCTTGCCTTTAATAATCTAGAAAACTTTAGAGATGAGTTCTGCATACAATGATACATTAGCAAATCAATGGCTGATCACGACTAAAGATGGAGAGAGGATTTAAAGCCGATATATAACCGAATTCCCAATCTTAAATCTGTGACATACGTTCCTCAAATCTTTCAATATATCCAATCTCAAATTCGAGATGGATATTAATCACAAAATCCATGAAAACAATACATATATTAAGTTGATTGGATGGTAAATTATCAAGCATTTACAACCAGAACGAAATAGGAAGGCTAGTTCGTACCTCCTTTTTGTTGTGTTCTTCGACGGCGAATCGAGCGAGGGTTTCCATCTCGGCCCCGTTTACGGATTGGTCCGCAATATCACGAATTCCGCCTGTCTTTTGATCATTTATCATATCATCTTCAACCGTTTCAACCCCCAAATAAAAATACGCCAACATCAAGAATGCAGAGATGATTAGGGATGATGCAACAACACTGGATTTGTTAGGGTTCATGGTTTCGATTTTGGAAATGGTGCGTTGTTTCTGGATTCAGAAAACCTTTTATTTTTGTTTGCGTAGTTGTCGTTGCTTGAAGCCATAGGAACAACTAAAATATTTTGAGGGCTTCAATTCACCGGCCTAATTTACTTACATTTTTTAATAAAGTGTAAATAAAAAAGTGTTAAATTATCAAGAAGTCGTTATAAAATTAAGTTAAAAAATGATAAAATTATATTTTTCAATGTAGCCCTTCTCACTTTTGAAAGTTGAACCAATTTAAATTACGTCAAAATGACTAACAGATTCAAAGATTTTCAATGAGTTGTGTTTGTGTCGGCATTTTTAATCCTTAATTGTGCAGAACTTGAAGGTTTTTCATCACCTTCCTCAAACTTTTTGACATTATATATTAATGAATGAAGAATAGTGAATAGTCCCATCTCAACTTTAAATCATCATTATATTAAGTGGAGTATATATTTATAGCTTTTTAAGGTTTCCATCTCCACCTCCAAGGTTGCCCATGAGTCCACCACACGATTGGTGGTGATGGGTGGTGGTTGGGTGTAATTGGTGGTGATGGTGGTGGTTAGTGATGGGTGGTGATGACGGACAGTGGTAATGGATGGTAGGTAGTGGTGGTGGGGGTGGTGAGTGTTTTTAGTTAGTGAGTTTTTTAATTGTTTGTAACTATTTTTTGATTTATATGAAGGAAAATCTTCAGAAAGTCCCAATATTTACAGAAAAAGTTACACTTTAATCGCAAGATTTTTTTTTGAACGAAAAAGTCCTGAAAACCGGCAAAAATTTACAGTTTACCCTATTTGACTGGTTAAAACTGGTAACAAATTAATTTTTGACTATTTCGTAAACTAACCCAAAATATTGGGATTTTTCTTTAAACAAAAAATATTATAGCTTTTCTGTAAACAAAATTATTAGGATTTTTCTACAAACATAACTATTATTATTATTTTTATTATTATTATTATTATTATATTATATTATTATTATTATTAAAAATATAAATAAGAATACTATTTTTTGAGCTTGTTATTATTAATATTGTTATGCATTTAAATGAAAAAAAAAATAATATTAATGACATTATTTAAGGGTGAAGGGGAGGAGGAGATGATAATGCTTTAACATTGAAATCATGAATGTTTGCTCGTATATTTTTACTTTATATATGGTCATTTCACATTTGCTATTATTGTTTTCAATTCAGAATATTAATACTTAACAATTTAAAAAAAGTTGTATATTTGTAAAATTGTTTATAAATAGTTTAAGTTAGAAGGATTTCTCACTTTGTATATAAATGTTTAAGGTAGAAAGATTATTTTCCAAATCCAACAGATACACTGCAAACACTACAAACATCTACATAGGTAGCTCATATTAAAATTCAAAACTATTAATTACAATATCTTGTTTAATAAAAAGTAATAGGAAAATTTCAAAAATATTAATCAAAATTCAAAAGTATTAATCCAAAAAACATGTCCTATTACTTTTTATTAAACAATATATTGTAATTAATACTTTTGAATTTTGATATGAGTTACCCATATAGATGTTTGTAGTGTTTGTAGTGTATCTGTTGGATTTGAAAAGGGTATTTTTGTCAATATAAAATGTGTTTGATCTTGTTCATTTTCTTAGTAGTCATTCTTTAACAAATGATTTGTTTATGATATATTTTAGTATTTGAAGGATTGCATTGGTATTACAGATAGGACATATGTGAGGGCATCAGTTCCACAAAACGAGAAAGCGAAGTACATTGGTTGAAAGGGATTTTAACATGTGTTTTACATTTGTATAGGCCAATTGGAAGGGGATTGCACATGGCACAAGAATTTTCAATGAAGGCTTACAGAGACCAAATCTTAATTTTACATATCCAACGGGTGGTTAGTATATATATATTTTTGGAACACAAGTTTTATATTTTTACTACTTTTTTGAAACGAAAAAATAATTTGTTTGTTTTATTTACATATAAATATTTCGTTGTTGATGTCGGATATCCAAATAGTAGAGGGTATCTTGCTCCATACAAAGGCACAAATATTCGTTATCATTTACCATATTTTCAACGTGGACACTCGGCTGCTATTCGTGAATCTCGTGGACCGAAAGAGAAATTTAACTATCTCCACTCATCATTGCGAAATATCATTGAACGAACTTTTGAAGTGTGGAAAGCTAGGTGAGCGTTATTAAGAGATATGCATATTAATTACATGTATAAGAACCAAGTGAAAATTATGATAGCATCGATGACGATCCATAACTATATTAGAAATGTTGGTAGGTTTGATGAAGTGTTTAATAGGGCACAACAAAAATCTTACAATCCCATACGAGATGATACTAGTGGTGAAGTTTACAAAGAAGATCCAAGTACACGTCGCACGAGTGATGATGATTTATATATGACAGCGATACGAGATATTATTGCACAAGATGTAATCACATTGCGAAGACGAATGTAATATAATCTATGATATTTTTTATGAATTATTTACAATTTGTATGAACGTTTTTAATATTATCATGGTCTAATAAAAAAAATCAGGAATATTTAAAAGAAATTTATATTTTATATTTTATAATAAAATGTTTACAAAATTATAATATGTGTTTAAAAAAATTGTTAAGTATAAAATAGTATATGTAAATTATTAAATAATTTTAAATATGTAAACATGTCATTTTACATGTAAAAGTTAAACCAAATATTTTTTTAAAACAACTTTTGATTTTTTAAAAATATCTCTTATAAAATGTCATTTTAAGAAAAGGACTTTTAATGGTAACCTTATTGACTTGATAAATACCTTATTTTAGTTCTATTTCATTGATACCAAGCACCTTCCAAAAAAACTTTGTTCCGTGTCCAGTCCACTTCGATTTCTCCCACCAAATGCTACCTAAAAAAAATCCTTGTGCTAAGAGTGTCAGTAAATTTTATATTTTTATGTGCAATATAAAAAGTTTCATTAAATTGGGTATATCTTAGTATTTGGTTCTTTAATTATATTGGACTTAGATGTATCATGTTATTCAAGTGCTGGGTGACTTGGGTCTATTTAATAGTGTTGGGCTCATATTATGGCCATTGGCTTATTATTGGACATATTGCATATATAGGTTTAAGCCCATCTTAGTATCATTAATGTTTAAACTGAGTTGTTCGATTCACATAAAAAGTGGTCTATCGATTTTCGGGAAAAAATTGTCTTTTTTATTTTAGTTTTCTAACATCGTGCTTAAAATTTTTATTATGCCCCAACTTAAACATTTGAACCATCATTGATCCGTTAGTCCATATCCATTGATACTTGTAAACACACATTTTATTTCCTTTTATTTGCATTCCATCTTATAACATAAATCATCACTTGATTTCATCACATACCATTATTAGTGCTTAATTGGTTCCATGTTTGAACATTCATGACATAAATACATGACTCTTCAAAGTCCTAAACATGGAATGAGCTTGTTAGCACTAACACCCATAAGATCATCATAATACAACACATATCCTATTAAATTTGAGGATGTTAAATGAATGATAAAATGATATATTTATATGGAATAATAACATAAAAGCATGAATGCATAATGTGCTTTTTATGTATCAATCTTGAAGTCTTGAAAATCTCAAGGCTTAATTTGTCACAAACTACAACGTATACGAGACTGTAAGTACAATTATTTAATTTTTGTAGATTTGTAATGTTATATTAATAACCGGTTTTCTTAACATCTATAGGAAAAAGAAGTTCAAGTGAATTATAAACCTGAAATGTAGTTTACATGCATTTTGTCAAGTTGTACTTAGAGTCTTGTATACGTTTGTAGTTTGTACGAGCTCTTTGCATAAATTATGATTATCAACACTGGATGTCTTTATATTGGTTGAATTATTTATTGTTCTGCATGTATATATTTTATAAATTATATAAATGTAATCTTTTAAATAAAATTGCCTTAAAGAACTTTGGTTTATTTTTTATACATAACCAGAATAGTATTTATTTATGGGCCTTTATTTATTCCCAACCCTATTGCGACATTCCAATGTTGTTTTTCCCAAAAAGCCGTTGTTCTTGTGTAATCTAATCAAAGACAATACCCACTGTGTTGTGCTGTTTTCTAAATGAGGTACTACTACTCTGAGTTCTGTCCATCAGATTCTACCCACGGTGACTTTTTGTTGCTTTCTTATTGGTCATATCAAATAACCAAAAACCAAAAACCAAAAATCATCTCGACAAACATTAATACGTATTTATTAGATAAATATATGTGGATTGCTATAATATATATATATATATATATATATATATATATATATATATATATATATATATATATATATATATATATATATATATATATATATATAAAAGATGTAGTTTGATATGTTCAAGCTACATATTCTTCTTATCGAGATTTTTATATTAAATATATATACAATGTTTAGTCCAAAATATACTTCTAAATGTTTTTATTTATTTTATTTCCTTTTTTTGTATATGTGTGTCTAAAAAATTTACTTTTTGATGTATATAAAAAAGGTTCAAAATAAAAATAATTTTATCTTAAATCAATTTCTATATATGATGGTAATTTCGATAATTTAAAAAAAATTATGGTATTTCTAAAAGTTAAAAAGATTATTTTTGTAATTATTACATAAAGGTGTCACATTTAAATTATTTTTTAAGTTTTTTTAAGTTTATTTTTTGCAAGTTAAAAAGTAATTTATAAACTAGTTTTCTTAAAATTACTTAAACTAGAAAAACTAAAACTACTTAAACTAGATATTAAGGAGTTTTTTTAAAAAACTTTTAAATATACACTTTTAATTATTTTTAATATTATTTTAAACAATTTTTTTATGTATTTAATACTTTACAACTAGCTTATCCGTTAATCTTTATTAAATATTATCTTTTATAAGTTAGATTTTTTTTAGATAAAATTGCAAATTTGGTCCCTGTGGTATGTCCAAACTAGCATGTTTGGTCCAAAATGGGTTTGGCTTGCAAAGATGGTCCAATAGTTTCTATTTGTTGCGAGTTTAGTCCAATGGCTTAACAGCCGTTACCAAGCTCCCGTTAATTTACCC